TTACTTTCAAATGCTTTGTCGGACTCTTTCCGGCGAATATTTGTATCTTGTGTATTAGTATTATAATATACGTTAAAATATCATTTTTTCCAAAACGGCTTATATTAAGTTTTAATGATCAATTGATAAGTTCCTGTGCTGGGAGTGACAAATGGACATTTTATTTGGAAATTTTACAAATCTTTTTTTATAATTATGGCAAAGTCAAGGTCCCAAAGACTGAATGAGAGCAGGGCACACAAAAAAGATAGGTGAAAATGTCTGAAAAATAAGTCGGAAAAGTAAAATGGTACGTTCTACAAATGATTGAAAAATTGAAGAACAAAAAAAAATATGCGACCAGAATAAACCAGGAAAAGCCGGACCACCTCTGCAATGAAACACAAATTAAAGAGAGTGAAAATAATAATACGATGGAAGTTGAACCGGAAAGATGTACGAATGACAATACTTTTTTGAGAACGAGTACGACTGATCAGCCAAGATTAAATAGCAGTTCTAGACTAAAAATCACTTTTATATAACCATACCCTTCATCATCAAGACCTAAACTTTATACTCAGTCAGAAACGAACATCATTTAATCACTCAAATCAAATATTTAAGCAAAGATGAAAGTGTTTGATTAATATGAAGCCTGTACTTTACAATCTCATATATTAATATTTAAATTAACCATTGAAATATTATTCATAACACACATGTATATAGCTAAAGTAAGAGCGATTAAATTCAATAAATAATAAAATTATTGAGCGATACAAATGCCAATTTTATTTAAAAATATATGTTTTAAATATTTGCCGCTGCTCTTGGGCTAATAACGATCATTTTGTGTATTTTTTTAACTATCCTTTCCATAATTGTCCTCTTTTAATTGCCCAGATGTTCTATGTTAGGTATTTAGTTATTATATTTCAAAGGTCCTTCGGAATCATTGATGCCAGCACTATTGATTGTTGAGAATTGAGTACCGCTCAAGTCGGTGCTAGGGATATTGCACGTAATCATTATTACTCACGTACAGACTCAGTCAAACCGAATCTGCAATTCTCTTGTAATTTTGTTGTGATTAATGCTTCCGAGGGATAACTTTGTTTCCAGATTTTGGAACTCATTTAATTTCCTTTAATAAATACCATTCAATTCAATAGAAAATAAAAAAAAGTATAGTGCACATAGATCAACTGTTAAATTATTATTATTGAAGCTCATAACATGATATGATTGCATCTGATATTCTCTATATGATATGTATAGAATAACAATTACCCTCTTTACAATTTATTTTACATTTAAAACCGGTTAATATCATTCCGACGATCTGATATGATGTGTATTGCTGATAATCACATTTAAGAGCTGGTCGAAATGGTTCAATCCCGTCAAGTCAGGCCGTTGTAAGGAAGAAATGTATGCTTATTTGTGCAGATCTTGTCATTTTAGAGATAGTGTCACAGTGTGCTTACATTTTTCCACGTTATCGAAATTAAAAGGATATTTGTTTATACTCAATCATCATCTTTGAGTCGAGGAACTTAATTCCACCAATTACAATCAAAATAAATAATGGGCTATAAAACCCACATAAATTATACTTTAGTGTAACCTTTTGCGGCAATATATATAACTGAAGGGGAGACGTTTTAATATCCGGTCTAACAAGTATTTTCTTTTATTTCCTTTCATTTCGACACAAATTTTCCTTGTTGATATTCTGGATTTACAATCATAGATGATTCACCTTGAATGATGAACATGCAAAGATCAAGAGCATTGCGCAGAAATGTTGTAAATTGAACAAGAATCATGATAAAAAATATTTATGTATGGTTTTAGTTATAATATAAAGATCAATAAAATAATTTAAGGCATACATGTCATGGAAGTTATTTTCATCTATTAAAGCTAAGCGTTCAATATTTTACAATACCTTTGATGATTTACTAAATTATCTTTTTAGGCTACATGGCTACAGATTGTTGTAATTTTTGTAAAAACTTACATTTTCTATAGTATACAAATTAAGTGATTTTATCAAATATGGGAATCAATGATCAACACGGAAAGGTGGCATTCACTTCACGCAGAATGCCTAGAACCAAAAGACTGAAACAGACAAGGTGGACCGACCGGAGGGCGGGCCAGGGGATGAAAATGGATAATAAAGGGTAAAGGGAAACATGCCGTTGACGACTTAAAACAAAAGGGACACAACGTGTGTTACATAAACTAACAAGATACAAGGCATACATCACTTAAAACATTTGGTATACATGCAAAGGGCAAGAAGATAAGAAATGAATGTATTTTACTCCGTTTGAACTTGAGTTGAACTTAATGCAAAAAAAAAATATATCATTGTCTGCATATAAATTTTAAATAATACCCAGGCGTGTGCATACTTGAACGTTTCATATATTCAAAATGTATGCGTATTTAGGTTTATTCTAAGTTAATTTTAAAAATAGTTTCCACATCTGGGGGTATGCCGCTTTAATGGTGTAAGACATTGGCTTTTTAAATAAACAGCGGAATTTAATTAACACAATAAATGTGGTATTTTGTCGTGGTCTATACAAACAGTTCATTTAAGATTTGTAAATTGGAACTGTTACACAGACTTTATTTCAGGTAGAATTCACTTTTATATCAGACATTCGAAATTATATAAATATTGTCAATTTTATTTTCACAAAGATACTATACATTTTGATAAATACTTGCACATCGAATTCATTGACCCTATTATTAGTACATCTTTACAAAACATTTTTTTAAACGCACAGTTGAACTTATTTTCATAATGTGCATGTCAATTATAGTTATATTGTTTTTTTTAAATACATCTTATAATTAGTATAAAAGCATAAATTTATAAATATAATACAATTACAAAAAAACTTATGACTACTTCACAGAAAACCGAAATCAACGACAAAAATGATTTCACCTTTTACTTTATGTAAATTTGTATTAATTATAGTTTAGTTTAATGAGCGAAAGTAGTTCTGTTTAATAATGTTTATCATTAGAAAACAAAACAAAAACAAATATTAATTTAAAACAAATGAAGTATGATGATAATGTATATATTGCAGTTAAATGTTATACGTGTTTGAAATACCTCTTTTATATATAGAAATAATCTATTTCTAGAAACAAAATGTCAAATATCAATTATTAAGTTCTTGTACGTTTGAAACAATGATGTTGAAATGTAACCTTGAACAATGATACCTTAACGTTTGTTTGTTTCATTTTACATTTTATGGCGTAAAGCCATACTTTGCTTGTTATTACATATAATGTTACAATGACATAATTATAAGACAACGCTCAAGATGACTTTATCGTTATTCGTTTGTCTAATCAATATCATAATATCGAAATGTGTATTTTACATAATTATATCAAACAATAAATAATGTGTTGAATGCTAGATGTTTTAAAAGTAATATTTTTGTTTTGAATTAGAAATCACTAGCAATAAAAGTATAACCAAATTATATTTTGTTTATACCAGATACTTTTAAGCGGCAAGTGCATTTTTAAACGATTCGGTTACAAATCATACCGTTAAAAGAATATCTTAAATGATATTAGAATATTCTGGCCAATGAATCATTTGCTTCTCGCTTGCTCGGACGATTAATCAAAGATTTGTCTAAAACAAGTGTCCGTGGACCAATAACAGGTTTCATTATTTATGGCCTTACAACCTTGACATATGGACTCTTTTTTCTTATCAATATATCGTATTTGACAGGAAGTTATTAACAATAAGCCTTTTGTCAACATGCTCTTATCATTTTGTCAACAATAATATTCGCTAATATAAAAGTGAAAATACTTCTTTAGTTTTGTCTGAACGACTTTTGAAGAAAATATTATGACACTCGTAACGTTTAAAGGTAGGTGAAAACAGAGTTTGTATTATATCAGCTTTCTTGTCAAATATAATGAAAGGTTTAAAAAAAATAATCAAAGGTTTAAACAAATCAAGTTAAAAAAAGATAGAAACAAAAGTAAACAATCAAATATTACGTATGTATATACCGATACATTATAGAATTTTATCTCTCTGTAATGACTCATTAATATTTAAAAATCAATAAACAGAATGTTTTCATTACAAAAAGAATCCTTAATTTTAGAAAGTCAATAACGTATAATGTCTCGATTCTAAAAAGTATCATGAAGTTTGATTTTATTAATTTAAAATATGATCTTTTGCAGTATCAAAATTGTATATACAATGAAAATGGGTTTACAAAGATATTAAAATAATACCACAAAAGTTTTCATTATATGAAACATATATACACGCATTTTGGTTTGTTTGTTTGTTTCATTTCACGCCTTTTCCCAACGGTATTTCAGTCATATAGGCGGGCAGTTTCCTAACCATCGTTCCTGGAGAATAACACCAGTACTGGACTACCTTCCACCGCGCTAAACTACCAAAGCATCTCCCGGGGATCGAACCCACGCCAGAGAGGTAACTAGATTAGAAGTCATCGACCCTAACCCCTCGACCAGGGAGGCGGTTATACACGCAGTAAATACAATTATCATATGAAAAGGATTTCGCAGAGAAAGGTTTAAACGGTTTACGATACATCAATCTTTGATAAGCCATCAAAACATTTATATCGACAGAAAAATATGCTTGCAATTCTTTTGTAAATAAATGGGCTTGCTTCGGTAGATAAATATTTGTTTATAAATGATTGACTGCCAAGTACTGTTTTGACACATTTACAAGAATAATCATTCTCATCAAGTTCTTTGTTTGTTGTAATTCAATTTTAATTTTTGAGAGAAAACAATTTATCTGTCTAAATTTCCTTATTTTGACTTATTTTTGCTCCTGTAATAATATGTATCGATTTAACGTATTATCCTTTAAATTTTAAAGTCAAAGTTTCGTAAAAAATCGGACGTTACTTACTTTGCTACAGTCTATACTAAATTTTCTTATATAAATTAATTTTTTTCCAGAGATAAACCCACGAGCTGAAATAAGATTTTAGCCATTGTTGTTTTGTATGGAAATAATGCAGCTATAAACATTTGATAATGGATGATCAATACAAATCCGGGACAAACAGTCATTTATATGATATTTTCAACGACCTCGGCTATTCAAAGGTGCGTTCTGAACAGAGAGTAAAGATATATGAGAATGCAAGTAGGTGCTTTGCACGTGTTACGAATAGAAATTGGTCCGTCGCTGATGTTGATGTTACCGTTCTTGGAAGTCGTGGAGAAGGTATGGCTGTTGCTTTGGGCAGTGATATAGACATAATGCATCTTCAACCGGCAGTGAGGTGTTTTGAAACATTCCCAACAGAAAACAAAGAATCCATTGACAAATACGTTGCTACATTTAAACTTAACTTTACGAATGTCCCGGAAGGTTATGCGAAGTTGCACTTAGAAACAATCAAAGACATACCATGGCCTGACAATCATAATAGACTAGTTTTTAAAATAAAAAGAGCATTAACAAGTGATGGTTATTTGAAAAATGACCAACGAATCATCGATTCCATAGAAAACGACGGCGAAAGAGTGAAGGTCGAAGGATGGCTAAGTGCACACTTTCAACACGAAAGAGCAAATGGCCCGGCACAACCGCTTCAATACCCATTACCCTTTCGTGGACTGTATATCCCAATAGATTTCATACCAGCTTTTTTGTGTGAATATCCGACGATCTTCGACGAATGGTTCGAACGGGTTCAAGGTAAGGCATGGCCTGGAGTAGATACATCAATGAAAGTTAAGAAGTCGAACACATTTGTTGTACCTGTCGGTTTAGCTGGGAGTGATGAGGAAGTATTACAGTGGCGGATGTCCTTTACCTTGGCTGAAAGATTGTTGGTAATGTCCTTCAATGATGCACAGATTAAAACATACGCTGCAATGAAAATGATTGTGAAACACGCACTGAACCCGATTTGTGAAAATATGTCTTCCTACCAAGTGAAAACTGCTATGTTCTGGGTATCCGAAAAGAATCAAGGTATCCTGAATATTGATGATTTCAATGAAATGTTGTTAGATGTTATAATATTCTTAACCGAATGCGTAAGAACTAGATGTCTGCAACACTACTTCACACCTTCAAAGAATCTGATGTTTCGAAAGTTTTCGGACGAAGAACGTAGTTGCTTGCTTGCTTCTCTCAATGCGATTTCCCGAGACATTGCATATGCTCTTCGACGATGTCCGTTAATACACATCATGTGCTCTTTACCTAAAAAAGAGATTAAAAAGAGATTGATTTTTAGAAATATTTGCGACGAACTTCTGGCAGCATATTTGTCCATTGAACCTGAGGAATATGATGTGATTGAGCATTTACTTCACCGTGCACAATCAAGTCAAGAATATTTGGAGCTATATGTGAAACACGTGCTCCCTATCGTTAGGCAAAACAACCCATATGGATACTTTCATCTATTGTCATCGATGAATGTTGATGAAATTACAAGTATAATGATGAATGGGATCAAACAAGGATACAACAAAATATGGCTTAATTGAACTTTTGGCAGCGTTTTGTCCCATTGAACATGAAGAATATGACATATTTTAATGTTTTGTTTAACAAATATATTGAATTGTTAAGCCTTATGAAACTTAACAGACATCTTGTTTTTCTTGCTGTAGGCTGTCTAAATATTGACTTGCTGTAAAATTTACAGGGAAAAACTGACAAAATATAAAATAAGAATTAACAATGGTCGTTTTAAAAGACAAATTGTTATTTGGGAATCTCATTGATCACTTTATAATAAAATGTGAAGGATAGTTCTTGCCATTCTAAAATAAAGTTGAAAGGTTAGTTCTAAAATAAAATGTAAAGGATATTTCCTACATTATAAAAATTGTAAAGGATAGTTCTAAAATAAAATATACAGGATTATTCTCGAACCTTCCTGTTAAAAAGCTAAGATATCTAAATTCTGTTAACAAAACATTTTACAATGCGTTTTGATCTTATAACATTTTCAAACGAATATGTTATCTTACATACGAACTTATTGAGCTGATGCTACACAAGAACGTTCTGAGTTATATTTTCATTTTTTAGGTTTCCATCAGTATGTGTTGTAAATTTGTAGATAAGTAACACAGCTAGATCTTATAGACTTAAAGATATACAAGGTTCATATTTTCATATTTGAAAAATGTTACAATTCCAACACAGTGCCGTTCTAAAGGCAAAATAAACATGCATTGAAATTCCATGGAGTCCATGTGTGTGTTAAGTTTTTTAAGTCTACACACCATAAGTAAATACAATTTAAAAACATAGTGTCCTTAAAAACTGTCAGTTTTTTTTTTAAGAAATAAACTACTAAACTTGACCCATAATATTTAATGAAGCTTTCAATACACATTTTTGTTTGTGCTCTAATTTAGATTAAACATGTTCAGTTTGAATTAAATACAATTGGATAGATTTCATCATTTTTTACTCTAAAATGAGCCTCTTACATCTTTAAAAAAGAAAGATTTTAAATAACAAAAGAAAGAAGAAAAAAAGATAAAATAATCTTGAAACAAGCGTTTTTACAAATTTGATCTGATATTATGAATGAGTTTAAAATATAATGCAGTTTTGTTGTCTCCTTATAAGAAGAGAAACTAGTTTAATTGCTAATAAGTAGTGTTGTTGATTTGTAGACCTTGCATTTTCATTAGAGGAAGCCAAATCAAATAACCCAAAATTTTATTGGAAACCTGTAAAAATGTTAATAAAAATAATAATGATAAATGTCATTGTTATAACATTCCAAAAATTTTATTTTTTGAAGTTTATGACACCGAAATATCTTATTGCTCTAATAAGGAAAAAGCTGATTTTTTAAATGAATATTTTATCTCAGTTTCTACAGTTGACGCATCAAAAATCCAATGACCGCCTTTCTGTCATAGAAGGGAGAACATATAACCCAATTTCATTATTATCCAATCAAAAGAGGTTAAAGTTATTGTTGCAAATTTAATTTAAAAATAAGCAACAGTGCCTGACGAAATTATCCATCGAAATTAAAAAGAAACACGAAACAGTATTTGTCATCCTCCTGGTGTACTTTTTATTAGATTACTCCATGAAGGGTCATATCTTAGTTCCTGGAAACTTTCAAAAGTTATGCCTCTTTTAAAAAAGGGTAACCCCCATTTCCCCTCCAATTAAAGACCTATATAACTAATAAGCTGCATTAGGAAAATCATGTATAGAATAGTATTTAAACATATATATAACCTACTTGCATTGTAATAAATTGATATACCCGTTACAATCAGGGTTTCTTCCGGGCCATTCGACAATTGATCAAGTAATCGACATGTATCATCAAATTTGCGTATTATTTGACAAAAAGCAATCTATAAGTATTTCTTATATATGTGAACAATATTGCTGAAAATCTTGTAAGCGTAACAAGACATTTTGCTGACGATAGCTCTTTATCCGTTTCCTCTCACGATATATGTTACATTGAAAGTACTCTTAACTCCGACCTTGGAAATATAAAAAAATGGTCTAAACATTGGTTGATTAACTTCAACCCAAATAAAACAGAAGTTTTCGTCCTTGAATCATGAAAGTCATTTAAGTCTACACACCATAAGTAAATACAATTTAAAAACATAGTGTCCTTAAAAACTGTCAGGTTTTTTTTTTAAAGAAATAAACTACTAAACTTGACCCATAATATTTAATGAAGCTTTCAATACACATTTTGTTTGTGCTCTAATTTAGATTAAACATGTTCAGTTTGAATCAAATACAATTGGATAGATTTCATCATTTTTTACTCTAAAATGAGCCTCTTACATCTTTAAAAAAGAAAGATTTTAAATAACAAAAGAAAGAAGAAAAAAAAGATAAAATAATCTTGAAACAAGCGTTTTTACAAATTTGATCTGATATTATGAATGAGTTTAAAATATAATGCAGTTTTGTTGTCTCCTTATAAGAAGAGAAACTAGTTTAATTGCTAATAAGTAGTGTTGTTGATTATTTCAAATATAACGCTGACAATTCACTGTTAAATGTAAAGTAAAATATTACCAACCGATAGTTATGGTACTTAAAGGCTTGTTTGAATTGAAAGTATCAACCACACCATTATGGTCACACGGCAAATTCCTAAGATGTATTTCACTGACAATCAATATGTTCATTTACTCATTTTCGTAACAAAGATACCAGACTAGTAATGTTTTCACAACACAGTTCAAGACGTAGACACTAAATAATTGTGTTTTTGACCACATGATTCACTTGTAAATAACCAAATATTACTGCACCCTGTATAACTGTATTTGCATACGGAGCGAGCATTTTTGTAAACAAATTTCAAATGTTTTTTTCCTGATTATTGTAAAATTTATTGAAGGGTTATCTAGCCGGTGCTAACGGGCGTGAACAGTATCTTGTAATTATCACTACCGTCCATATGGAGGCTCAATCAAATCGAGTCTGCAATATTTACAATTTGACGTGTTGAACTTTCTTTTTGGATTCTGTTTTTCTCCAATTTGTATATACAGTAAACTTCACTTATAGCGAACACGGTTATAGCGAACTTCCGGTTATAAGGAACAATTTATTTTGGCCCGAATTTTGCCCTTCTTTATTTAATATAAAAAATATACGGTTATAGCGAACACGGTTATAAGGAATTATCGCTTATAAGGAAGTCATTTCTTAGTCCCAATTTAGTTAAAAGTGCAGAAAATTACACTGTTATAACGAACTCCAAAATATCGGCTATTCGTAAATATATCCCGCATTTTCACAACTTTCGTTTTCATTGGCACGGATTAAAACTTGCGGAATGTACCGTTTCTTGTTGTATGTTATTCAATATATCTATGAAAATGAATTTGTATAGAAGTATGTAATAAGTTTCTACTTAGGAAATTTTAGCATGAGTTCTTGTAACAAAGATAAAACGGTTATTCCTTTTATTCTATTATTTCTTTTCTTTAATAGTTTTGCTCGAGTAAAATAATTATGATCATTTATAATCGGTTTTCAACATTATCACGCATGCTTGCAAACATAATCCATAGAAAAACTACAAAGTATGCTTGATTGAAATGAAAAGAAATCTATATATTTCATTAGGTAAAGTCACCCTTAAAATATAATAGAAGATATTCAATATAAAAGGAAGAAAAAATGGAAAATTTTGTTTATTCTTATTCATGGAAAGAAAACAAAAAGCACTGAGTTAAGAAACAAAATATGATATTTTATGAGAAATTGAGAAAGGGAGTAAAACTAAAGGGAGTAAAACTAAAACTGAAATAACAAAATTTTCAAATTTCAAAATGTACACTCACGGGTATTGTGTCTAAAAAAGAAATAAATGACTAATTATTCTTAATTAAATGCTCTTCAAAATGGCGGACGATGTTTAACAATCAGTTCGTTATATGTAAATCTGTTCGCTATAAAATCTCCTGATACAAGGAACTAATTCGCTATATGCTTACAAGGAACTCCGGATATAAGGAACATATTTTGAATGTCCCAATGAGTTCGTTATAAGCGGAGTTTACTGTATTATCTAATAAAACAAAGTAAAATATCATTTACCTCATATCCTCAAGTTCAATATATATTTGGTATCTCATAATATACAGGTTAATTATATTTATGGCTTAAATAAGAATCACATTCTAATGTAAATCGTTATACCCTTTATCTGCAGACAAGGAAAAGCTATCAAACAATGTCACAGGATGTTTCTCAAAAGATAAAACGTCAAGTGAACAGTGTAGAATACACTTAATGAAGTGAATTGACAAGCGTTTGCATTTCCAGACTGAATGATTGTCCACAAAGTCGTCACGCAAATGCATTGTTAGTGCTAAATGAGGTGTAGACTGTATACGGAATGCATTATTCAAAGTGTATAGCAATTAACCTCACTATTTAAATAATATAGGCATATGATATGCTCATTTAAATATGTGAATTTAAGAGATTCTCTTAAGAAGTCTGACAGGGGTTACAACATACAATGTAGATCAGCGGCTTCATATTAAGCTAGGTTAAATTTGTATAATCAACCTGTCGACCATAGTTGCCTTAGTATATTCCTTTTTCATCATACAAAAGTTTTATGTCTATCATCTTAATATAAAGTTTGGGCCAAATGGAACTTCATATATTATATGTATTTATCAAGAAATCCATTTTTAGGCAATGCAAAGTAAATAACTTTATTATACGTTTTATGATTGTAATTACCTGTTTATCGATATACAGTCAAAATATTGGAAGCGTGCGATACAAAATTTCATATATTTAAGACAACTGGCTCGACTTCGACATACCTTTTTTATGGAAACTCGTCTTGATAGTCGAAGTAGGCACAAGATGAAAACATCTTACTTTTTACTGTTTATAGGCAGCCGAGTGGTCCTACTTCGTTTTGGTTAGAACTGAGTGATAGATTTGAAAAAGCTTTTGAAATAAGTGAAAGAGCAAAAATGAAGGTGACATTAAAAGGATCAGCTGAATGAAAAATAACAGCAAATTATAAATAAAAGATATTCTTCTAATTAATGACCTGAAAAAAGTTATTAATTAACCAACTCGTGTTACGGTAAAGTCGTCAACTCTTCTTGATCCGATCGCAGTTTCCTCTTCTATAAACATATATAATTCGGGTATTCCATTTACAACATAAATAACGTTTACGGGACTTAAATGTTTATCAAATTCGAAAAAGAGACTTTAAAAGCATACAAACGCCGAGTTTGGAATTACAAAAAAGCGGATTTCGTCAAAATTAATAACCTAATTCTTAACTATGATTGGATTTGTCTTGTGTCACGTTCTGTAGATAATGCTTTCAAAAATGTTACATCAGGACTTACTGAATTAGCAAACCAATGCCTACCAACTATTTATGTAACTCTTCGTCAACTTGATCGACCTTTGTACGACTCGGAAATATGGCGAATTTCAACAAAAACCAGATAGAACGAAAAGGTCACTGTTAGAACTAAATCTGTTAATGAATGGAGCCGTTTCAAACACTTACGCAATAAAGTTAATAATCTATAAAACACACTTAAGAATTATTTTATATTATTACCCCTCACTTTTTTCGTAATGCTAATTTCCCATAGGCCTCTGGGAGTTATTTTTACTGTTAACGCAAGTGTACCACGTGACTAAGAATTTTGTACTGTTACATAGGTAACAGTATTTTTAACAGTATAAAATCTGGTCACGTGGTCTATTTTCTAAATAAAATGAAATAAAATGGCCGCCATTCTTGATTGATTCTTATTTTCGACGTTAAACCCCGATAGGACATCAATTTCTTCTCTGGAGTAATTATGACTCTCATAAAATT